ATTGATGGTTTTGTCTCTCTTTACGATTTCTTTTTTTACGAAAACCAAATGAAAGGCTCATCCCCAAGTATGATACACAACAGCATCTATGAAAACAAAGACATAAAATTCACGAGGCGACCACTGAACACAATCAGTTCTCACAGACCACACATAGCATTGTTTGTGTCTAAACCTTGAAATAGGACGGCTACCCTAACTCTGGATCAATATACCGAAATGTTTGTTGTCTGTCTGTGAATTTGTAGACCATTCTAGTAAAAGTGACGACCTAGGTATTATTGGTAAACTTTGTGTGAACTTTTGTTTTGTGTTTAGTGATATAGTTTTGTTTTATAAGTTTTTGTATTTCAAACTATCTCGTTTGTCTCGTCGTAAACGTAATTGTTGACTACAAATTCAAAGACAAAGCATTTATTTCATTATCCCTTAATTAAGCACTTCTAAAACATCAAAATTGAATTGTCGCTCAGTCGGTCTGTTAGTGAAGCTAGGCGCTCGTTCCAAAGTGTATTTCGTATAGAGAAAAACAAGCAAGAAACTCCATCGTTATGCACTTTCAAAAATTAAAAAAATATCTTTGGCCAGGCCAAAAACTAATTAATTTTTAATTAATTAATATTTATTCATACTTAAGTTATTTTAAATTAATGACAATATAAAAAAACAAAAAAAGTAATAAAATAATAACTTTAATGTCAAATAACTGCTTTTTGTGACAATTGTATTTTTTTATTTAGTAAAATAAGGGTAATCTTGAAATGCACTGTTGGACTATGAGCCTTTTGCTATAATCTTCATGCTAGGCGAGATAAGACGACCGTTGTTTAAACGGTTCATGTTTATTAATCTCTATCAAATGTGTAGTCTTTTGATAGTCAGACAACATTTGCGTGAAGAGAAGGAGTAATCCAAAGTGCAAAACTACACAACAAACACATGCCGCGGGGGACTTAACGGGTTGCCGGGGCTCCGGCTCGAAGTACAGGAGTAGGAACGGGATGGTTTTTAGTCAGTAAGAGTCTGACACTCCCCCCGCCTCACCCAGGAGAAGCCATTCGATGATTCCCCCCCCCCTTAAAAAAAACATGACAAATACATACAAATAATAAACCACTGAATATTATCTGTCCTATCGGAATAGATTGCAAATAAAGTTGCAGTTTTAAACCTTGACTTTTTTGGCACTCGCTCAATGTCGGCATGGTGATATTTCACATATCTTTATATTCTTCATAGAGTCACGTCCAGTCTGGTGGATGTTTCATAATACCTTAGTTGTGTAGTTTAAATCTTGTTTTTCACCACAGAAGAATATCAATCGATTGATTGCAAATACGACTATCAACCAATGAGTTTCGTTTTAATTCTGTCATGTATAACGCGAACTATTACTAGAATTTTTCGTATATTTCACAATTTCCAGTAACTGTATGGAATCTGGGATTGTACTCAGTATTCATCTGCTGTTATTTGCGACTTGTAACATACAGTCGGTGTTTTACTTGGTCTTGTTAGTTACATATTTATTTTATTTTTATATTCGATGGGTCGACGTTTGGCTACTATCTTGCCTGGTGGTACGATGAAACACGCTTGCTTATCGATATATTCACTCGAGCGTAGAAGATACCTAGATTATATCCTTCAGGAAACACAAGCTCTGGCAAAGAATTCTACTCCTTAGCAGTACACACAAAAAAGCTTGAAGCGAAGCGCTACTATCGATATTGTCATAGAGATTCTACCAATCCCTTTCTGGATCAAAAACATCATTATGTTATGCTATAAATACGAATTGAAACTCAACGTTAATATTTTAATAACCAAAAATAAACCAGATAGAGTTATTATATCAGTACCAACAATATATCAGAGTATTCTGAGCTAAATCCGGGATGTAACAGATAATTCACAGAGATACTCGCCGGTTCAATGTGGCGGTTAGTTCTACAGTTGTAACAATATATTATAAAGTGTTAGCACAAACTTAGAAATTATGTAATGGGTTAGATTTACGTAAGTAGTTTAAAGTGGGGTGTTGTGAATAATAGATTTAGGGTACATCCATGAGATAAAGCGGCGTATGTCCAGTAGAAGATAGGTATAAACTAACTGATGGTAATGTTAATGGATAAAAGGAAAGAAGACTTAACGGAATATGAATGGATGATGATGTGCCATGAAAATGTGTACTTTGAATTACTCTTTTTTTTAAAAAAAACTTTGTCCAACACTAGGATTTTCTCCTGTGTCGTGGGTGCGTTTACAAACGTAAAAGTTCACATATAAGGAAATGACACTCAAACCCGAAACAACAATTTGCGGATCACACAAAGAATTGCTTCGTGCGGGAATCGAACCCGCCACTCGTTGGGCGTTGCCAAACTCTGTAATTATAGACACTACTAGGTTTTACCCGCGGCTTCGCTCGCGTCACAAAAGGATAAAAAGTAGCATATGTGACATATGACGATATACACAGCGCCATCTATTTATCTATTTTTCCGGGATAAAAAGTACCCTATTATTTAATCCGGACTTCTGCAAAAATTCAAAGCAATTGGTTTAGTAGTTACGGCTTGAAAGCAGAACAAACAAACAAACTCACTTTCCGATTTATAATATTAGTAAGGATATCGTAATCACAAGATGTAACTTGAGGTGACTAAAATGATGTCATGGTTGGATTAAATAAAAAATTAATAATGATTTATTGCCTTTCATTGAGCTAAAACCAGTAAGTGCATTTTAACTCATCTATAATCATAAAAAAGATCCAAGAAAAGGAAAATTATTAAGTACTAGTTTCTGCCAGCGGCTTCGCCCGCGATACCAGGGGTAAAATGCCTATGTAGCACTTCAGACCATAATCTACCTCTGTTCCGAATTTCATTCCGGTCCCTTTAGTCGGTTTAATATGACTGAGTAACAAACATACACATAAACTCACATATTTTCATTTATAATATCGAGTCAAGCTAATTTCAATCATTGGCCTTTCAGTTACAGCGTAAAGTCTATGAATCAGTATTGTAAACGTTAGAGTAGACAAATACAATCAGAAATCACCGAATTGCTAAGCAATCGGGAGTTTCACGTGTTATTGTGAGTCAACCATAAAAGATAGACATATGCTGTCGAGGAATATTTTTTATATAATTTTAAGGAGAATATTTTCGTCATACATGATTTCTATGCAGCTTTAACCTATAAGCCTGCACACGCGACGGAAGCTTAAAAAATGGAGTAACTTCTCCCGTTTTCCCAAAATTTCCCTTCACTGCTCTGCTCTTATTGATTGTAGCGTAATGAAAAGTATACTATAACCTGCCCAAGAGTATGAAGAAAAATTGTGCCAAATTTCGTTAAAATCCATCGAGTAGTTTTTGTTTCCATAACGAACATACAGACAGACAGACAAAATTTTTACTGATTGCATTTTTGGCATCAGTAGCGATCCCTAGCCACCCCTTGATAGTTATTTTTTAAATATATTTTATGTACAGAATTGACCTCTCTACAGATTTATTATAAGTATAGATGTGCTTTTCCGTCTGAGGAAATGAAGTAAGTTTCCTGCTATTGAATTGCAAGATGTAGGAATTTGTTCACAAGCACAAAGGAATGAAATAAGACGCCTTTGGAAGTCCTGTTGGAGTATGAGTGTACGACCTGCTTAGTGCCCCTTTTGTGTTGTTTCTTGATACAGAATTTTCTCTTGTTTCATATCGTACTTAGGGTCGCTTTTTCAATGCTCAGTTAAATTTATCAGAGGAATAACTTTGAATATTTGACAATTTTTCCATACTAAACAACTGTCAAATGTCAATTTTACTGTACAGTTAAGAATTAAACTGATGTATAAAAATCGGCCCTCAGAATTAAATTATAATATTTCTACATTTCTAAATTTTAGACTACCTTATTAGTTTAGTGGTCGGCCGAAGAGTATAATTTTTTTTTCGGTTTTTCGGAAATTTCTCAGCACCTATCATAGATATGTCATAGTACCTATACCATAAAGTCTAGGATTGTGGCAATACGTTCAACCCCTACATGGTACGTGAAACGTGGGTGTAATGGTCAGTCTATTCTGTAAAGGGCTTATGTGATACAAGCAAATTGAACATAAACAAAAGCAAGCATCCATAACTATTCTTTAAACAAGTTAAACCTTAAAATTGTTTTCTATTTAAAATTACAAAATATTAGCTTCACTTCAAAACAACAAAACGAAAAATGTAGCAACATAACAAAATAGTGATGGGACCAATATACACCAAGCAATAGACAATAGATGTGCACAATATGGCGCCGAAGGATAGCCAGTGCGTTCCTAAACTGTGTGCTGATGAAGAAACTTAAATCCGCAGTCAGGAAGTGGCGGAGAATGCGCCTCTTCCGCAAACGAGATGGTAAGTATACTTTGGTAAGGTCGTTGTACCTACTGCTGGTCAGATGTATCAAAAATTACTGGGTTTAAACTGTCAAACACCGCGAGGACACCAGTGACCGCAACCTATTGTTCTTTAATTGTGTCTATAACGACGGAACTCAAAAGGGTTGAAAGAAACTCTTTTTGCTTTTGCAATTTTTGCAGATGCTGTGATAGATTTCCGATGAGTTACATAAGAGATTCTATTTCTCACGAGCAGAAAACGTATGTATATCTTCTGGTCTTATAAGAACGATAGAGGTTTTGCTTGATTGCATTATTCATAAAAAATTTAAAAATCAGTAACACATTGGCGTTATGGACGTGTTCATGTTACGGTAACTGCTTTCCATCAGGCAGACTATAGACTTGTCAGTCTCCTCATACATATATTAGGAAACTGTTTGATAATTATTTTCTTCATAGAATACTTCAACCAGTACTTTTAGAAGTAAACTTCGTAACTAATATGGTGGACACTTGACAATTTGACATGGCATGTGGTGCCATCTGTACTTGATGCACTTACCTTGAAATAATAATATGTTCATCGTACTTAATCATGTGTTATCCTTTGTCTACAGAGTCTGTGACCCGTCAGGTGTCGACTGATCCAGCGCCGTCCACTTCTGGCACTCCTGCGCATTACCCTCGGCCACCACCTACCGAATTATTGCAATTGGTAAGTTTTTTTTAATTGAACAGGCATTTGATTAATTCAATATGACTATGCAGACGTCTGAACTAGATAATGATCTTTAAACACCTTAAAGACATGAAATAACGAGATTTTTTAACCATAATTTCTATCACGTAACTATTTGACGAGAAACTCGACTAGTTTCAAGCCATGCTAGAGGCTCATATTCATGAGCAGCATTCCTCGACACGCGATGTGGCGATTGTCGCAGTTTGACTTTAAACTAGTCAAGTTGCAATAAATTATTATTATTTTTTTACACTTCTGTATAATAAACATACGATAGCGGACTTAATGCCGGGTGGCATTCTCTAACAGTCAACCATAGGGTGATGCAGAGATATGCAACAGTAGGTGTAATAGGTATAATGGTTCAATTTGTTATGTGTCACGAAAGTTATAATACGTATAAACATAATTTATTTCTATCGAATATTATACCTTATCATATAATAACATAACGAACAGCTTAATTGTATAAAAACCCTTTTAGACATGGGTGTAGCCACGGTCATTGAATGGAGTGCCTCACCCTAGGAACATTGTAACTGCGACATAGTGGCGCCATCTACATTTTACACTAATTGTATTTAAACCTAACGATTATGTTTATAGTAGGGTACTGCTTACTGGACACTATTTGTCATGGAGTTTGCTACTCTGTTGTAGATACTAAGTCAAATTAGCAAAACTAGCAATTATCATGGAGTTTTGTCAAGATTTTTTTTATATATTTGATGGGTCGACGTTTGACCACTATCTCGGCTTATCTCGCCTGGTGGTAAGCGATGATGATGATATTTAAACAAAATTGTTACCTATTAAACTGTCAAAGTTATGCACCTAAATTATAATACCATACAATTTTTTTTTATGGACCAGAAGTGAATACCATCAAGTACTAATGCGAAGTCCTGAACACAAAATATACAGGGAATCCTAAGAGGAAAATGCATACATGATTTTAATTTTGTCTACGTAGACAGATCTTCTGACTGAAGACTTCAAAATATTGTACATATCTTCTTTTTCTACTCTCCCATGTCAGACGTGATTCTAGCACAAACTCCTTTCTGAGTTTTAACATTCTTCACACAATCTATCCACCTTTTTTATGAACCAATCCGTCTTTCCACTTTTTTTAAAAATGTTGCCCCACATTTCGATGTTCTCCTGTGTCGTGGGTGTGTTTACAAAAATATATATTCACATACACATTACACCCAGACCCGGAATAACAATCTGTGGAACACACAAAGAGTGGTTCCGTGTGGGAATCGAACTCAACCGCGCCATCCGTGCAGTCAAAATATTAGCTCTAAGTGAGTTATAATTTGTCGCGGAGAACCTAACGGGTTACCGGGGCTCCGGCTCGACGTGCAGGAGAAGGAACGGGGTGGTTTTTAGTCAGTAAGTGTCATTCGAGCAGTCATTCGATGAATTTCCCCCCTTAACAAAAAAAAAAGTGAGTTAGTATTTATTATATGGTCAATTCCATATTTCTACATTGAAGTTCAATTGCCTGTTATTCATATAAACGTAGATATAATTTCTTTTGTACCGCAAAGACTATCTCTTAGATAAAGGAGGTTTAATGAGGTCAGTAGCTCGACACTCCATTCCTTCGTTTTTGTTCACAAAGAAGTTTTCTATTATTAATATCTAGATCTTTATTTATCCGACGGGATTAAAAATGGACCTAAGTGAATATTAATTGCCTTCCTAGGAAATGACGCCTAATTACTATTTGCTTCCATTTTAATTAAGGCTCAAAATGCACTTTAGCGAAGATTCCAGTTAGGTAACAGGCTAGCTAATTTGCATAATTCGTTAAACTGCGTCGCTTGGGATGCGGTTTTCTGTTACACTTTTTTTAATTAAGTTTTGTGCTTTATGAACGTAATGTTTATAGGTAAATATTGCTAGCTGTTACCGGCTTTCGTCCGTGTAGAATATGAATTTTAGTACATAACTAATTCAAATGCATTTGCTTTATTGCATTTCTACTATTAATATCATATTAATTATTCAAATACATGTAATAAAAAGAGGTTATTTAATATTACAAAAAAAACTACAATTTCGTTCATCTGTATAGATTTAAATTCATGTTAAGAGGATACTTTGAAGTAGCAATTTTAAGGATAATTTACTTTATATAGTACTAATAAAAGAAGATAATGTCATAATAGAAACGTAAACATACTTAATTGTTGTTATCAAGATAATGCGCCTGATAAGAAAATGAGGTACAGTTACACGTTTACGCGACTATGTGCTATTAAACTTCATTCAGGCGCTTACAATAATTACATTACCATGTGAATGTAATGTAGTTTAATGGATATATTCACTCATAGGCGTATTTATGCGACACGGAAGAATATCCAATAATTTTCCTTAAACTGTAGCAAACTCAAATAAGTAATTTAAACCCAGTTGCCGGTTGTTATTTTGTTCTCAAGTAATGCAAAGAACATTTACCTTAAATTACATTTTTCGTTTCAGGAACCAGACGAAGGTCAAAGACTAAGAGAGCAACAATTGCGAACATTCTCGTTCTTCCAACTGAGGGTACATTTGAAAAGAGGCCAAAACTTAGTAGCTATGGACAAAAATGGTATGTTGGCACACTATCACAAACACCAGCTTTCATATTGTGACAGAAAGTTATCAATAAAAAGCACGGCAATATATTAAGACACGTGGCTCCATCTCTTTTTCAAACCCAGAAGCTGGTGTTGAAATGTCACAATATGGCGGCAAAACAAAAACATGGCTGCTAACTGGTGCACGGCAATCAAATGCAACTAATATTAACACAAAATAATGCTAATAGTTTCTCACATAACAATACGAATATTTATTTAAATAAAATAATAAAGTATTTATATACCTACTAAATCACGATTTATTATTCACAACTTATTTCAATAAATGAATTTACTAAATCTATTCGAGTATTGATGGACTACAGATACTTTAATACGACACTTTATTGGCACTTATTTTTATAACGGGATTGTATATACATATTTTCAATTTGAGCAATAGATTTACAAACTTATTATGTCGGAATACTGAAACGTTACTCAATTTTAAGTCGTGCTTAAATATCGTGCCGTCTCTGTCATTTTACAAAGAATATGTTGAGACAGAACTATAATTAAGTGCGACTTAAAATTGAGTAGCGTTTCAGTATTCCGACATAGACACTTATGTTAGGTCCAGACTGTTCAACTGAAATTGGATTTTGAATAAATACGAAGGTACTCAGTTTTTGTAAAGTAATTTTGTATCCGACTCAGTCATTATTGAAGTCCCTTCATTATTGAAGAGCACAAACACTATCTAGTATAACTTATTATGAAGCCAGGAAAATCTTTAAAGCAACATTATTTGCTAACATAAATATTGCTGTCATTGACACTAGAAGCTTTTCTTAAACCTCAATATTTTGACCACTCTTGTGTTAGTAGACTCATTCTTGCACGGAAAGAGATAATATTTACTGCATTTTTAGCAAACCAATCATTTTTATCTAGACAATGTTGGAATTTATTGCTCAAATTCAGCTCCATAGCAAAATTCGTGTTCATAGTTTTAAATTATTTCGCTAAATGAACTACCCCACACAACACTACACTACACAAAGATAGTTTTATCGTTGTTTTGCATGTATTGTTTTGTTTGATTTACGCAAATAATGCTTGATGCTTTCTTACCATAAGTTCACCTGTAGAATCCTAACTTAATTAATAGATAAGAACCTTACCTTAGTGATAAAAGGTCTTAAGTATCCAGAGTCGTTTAATGGTTACTTAACCGAGGCCCTTAGCAATTATTTTCGATACAAAATCGTTGCTAAGAAATAGTTTAAGTTATCAATAAATGTCTGTGACACTCAGAGGAGTGTGGTAGTAAAACAACGTGCAGGACTTATTTCTGATTAAAATGAAAAGAACAGATAAAATGGATTCACTAATTTTTTTATTAAGAATTTGATACAAAGATATATTTACAATTTTGTCAAATGAAACGTACAATCTCGTAAAAACTAAGATTAAATTTAAATGTAACTCAAGGTATTTATGTAAACTCGGCTTACCTTTTAAAGGGGTCCTTTCTAGGTAAAAGAAACGTCTAGAAACACATTCTAAATCCCACTTGAATTTATTGACTCACAATCCACTCTTTCATTTCTAACTAGGTGAGACGTCACACCGAGTTAAAGTAACTTTGAAAATGAACTTCTCTATTGGCCACCACATGGAATAATCCAATCGGATTTACCAAACTTTGCGATGAGACAATCAATGGCTGATGTCGGAACTTAGATTGCGTGATTCGTGTACTTTTCGACTGAAATGAGTTTATAGTGGATTCGCATCTAAGTAGTTTTCTAATACTACCCAAATTATAACTTGATTTACTGCTGAATAATTAGTGCATAGCTTTCTTTTAACCCGTCGTGTGTCTAAACGTGGATCCACAATGGATTTTCTATAGTGTCTCATATACAGGCATACAAGCGCTTAAGGACTTTTAGATCTACGTTTTCTATAAGAATGTAAAATATAATATGTTTGTCTTCAAATTGAAGACTAAAAGGAAACGAATAATATAATACCCATGATCTACAGTTTACGATAGATTCTTGCTAACAAAACCACCTTCAACCCCATATTTACCTTGAAACAATCCTAGTAGCTTACATTACCTAGGTTTTTCATTTGATTTTGCTTTTTTCTCTTCTAACTGTAGTGTTTTGTGGGGTCCAAAACCAGGTTTGTTGTCAGGCACGAGTGATCCCTACGTCAAGTTTAAAGCTGGGGGCAGACTGCTGCACAAATCCAGGATAGTGTACAGAGACCTGAATCCAGTGTGGGATGAGTGCTTCACTGTACCTATTGAAGATCCCTTCCAGCCGGTGCAGATAAAGGTGAGTGAATTTTGTTTTGATAGATACTATACTACTTCTGAAGTATTAGCGTAACCCCACTAGTGTTTTCTTCTATGCTATAAGTAAAATCATGTTCAACAGCTTCGTGGTTTTCTCTGCAAGTACGTACTTACTGTTGAGCTATAGAAATATGTTATTGTCCTTTTCAACACTGTTCAGAAAAATAAAGAAAAGACTAGAAAAGATTTAGTTACTAACTACTACTCCATTTTCCAAATTTCACTACGATATGAAGTCGCCAGAATAAAATATCTAATAGTAGATCAAATCAGGGATGATATATCGCCCAAATCTTTTTGAAGAAATCTATTTCAATACCTAACCTATTCGGAAAAAAGGTTAGAACAAGACAAAATAATAAAAATACTCATCATGAACAAGTAAGTCGTAACAAGCCCATTTCAATTTCATTATCTATATAAAAATCCCATTGAGGCTAACAGCAATAAAACTAGTAGGTTATAAAGAGAATATAGGATATTAAACTGCAATCCAAATCAGTAATAAAATATAATAAGTAACCCTCATAACCTCGCTCGATTGGAGTGATACCAAGGCCTAAAAGAAAACCAAGAGTACACACACGCTGGCTTTTGAGGGGGAGAAGTCATCGAATGTCTGCTCCCGCCTTGGGTAAGGCTAGAGAGTGTTTAGACTCTTACTGACTAAGAGCTACCCTGTTCCTACTCCTCCTTCGAGCCAGAGAACCACAGTCTTGTATTTTGTCTTGCCAAATGAGTGGCAATATAGGAATTTTCAAAATTTTAGATCTTATTGCTTTGCACAACACTTCTTAAAACACCGTACTCAAACAGTACTAAGTTATTGTTGTACTAAGGTACTTGTTTAAATGTAATACTTTAAAAATGTAATGCAAATACTTATATGTGCTTCTACTCGATCATGTCGCATCAGAACTGAGAATACTTCTTCATACCGCACAATTTATTTTATTCGCTACACTGAGCAAAATTTCTAAACCCTTAGAAATCCGACGTTGAAGTAATATAAGTACGCCCCTGTTACGTAAGACAGGTATTATTTACTTCCGCAGGTGAAACTCCAGATGTTATATCCTTTTGAAGGTAGAATACTGTTGTATGGGTACGTTTTCTGAAATACACGTAGATAATTATAATTCTTCTTTTTGATCTTTTAAGGACTTTCACATTACATAACATCACACATTTTATCCCCGACGGGGCAGGCAGAGGTGCACATTATGCCACTGTACAATGTGACAACTGAGAATACTACTGAGAATTTAAAAAACAAACTCAGTAATACTTTGCTGGACCCGGAAATCGAAGCCGAGACCCCTTGCCCGGCAGTCGCACTTGCGACCACTCGGCCAACGAGGCAGTCAGTCGAGGACTTTTACATCTAGAGCATTATTTAGTCCATCTAAAAGGTGAAAACTTACCATATAATGCTAAAAATCGTGACTAAAAGTATGGTCTTCTGCATAATTTCTTCTTGCTTTATCTTTGCTAAGTAACATGAGCTAATTTCGAAATAAACCGAGTGCAAGTTGTTCAAAAATCCAAATATCAAGTTTATATACTGTACTATGTATACTATGTAATAATCTTTTCACGATAACTTATTCGTTATTGTTATCTTGAATTGGATTGCATAGATTTATTCGTTGGACTGATCCAATCCAAATAAAAATACAGAAACATCTACATTTTGCCAACTTAAATCTTCAATTCAGTTAGCAAAATTTCATACTTGAAATGAAGCGTATACTCGTTCCGAGTCTTTATAAAATCAATATTATGCTAATGTACATACGTTTAGTAAGCCGTCTGCATCTTAAATATGACACTAAGAAGAATTTGCTATAAACCTACCATTCTATATGGGTCTGAATATGCAGACAAAGAAGTTGAAAAAGTACCTACTTCTATTTATTTTTGTTGTATAACTATCAATGATAACGTGGGTAGGTACAGCTGGTACAGTGGCGAAATAACTGTAATATTTGAAACGTGTGTCGAACAAAATTATATTTTTTTATATAAATTATTTTAAGTCCAGGCATTTTCAATCCTATTTAAAAAAAATTAAAGGTTAAAGTCAAACAAGAACTTGAGTTACTCTTAAGCACCAGTTTATTTTCATTTCATGTTTCAAAATCATAAGGATTGTTCCAAATAGTTACAGCGTAAGCTACATAATTCTGCTCAGAATTTGTAATTAAAAAAATTTAATAACACTCTTTCATGCTTAGCAGTTACGTCAGCGACCTCTAGTCTGAAAGAACGACATTTATTACACTCTTTTGTTACTCTCTGATTAAATAATTTTATTTCGCCCATTGTTATTTGATTACATTACAACTGCCCATTTCATGTTTTTGTAACAAGTCGTAACTTGTTTCGAGACTAAAGTAACTTTAATTTCAACGTTATTATCCCCAAAGGAGTAGGCAGACTTGCACATTACTAAATGAAACACCCTCTTTTATCCGACTTCAGGAAGTGTTTTGTTTTTAGCTGGTTATCAGTCTCAGGTGAGGGAATAGTCTTATCTTCCGTATCGTGTGGCATGATTGAAATTTTTTTTAAATTTGAAAGTCCCAAAAACTTGTACTATACTTTTGATTAAATCATACTCACTGTTTTTATCACCTCCTAATCTTCACAGGTTTTCGACTACGACTGGGGTCTACAAGATGACTTCATGGGCTCCTGTCACCTGGACCTGACCGCCCTAGAACTTGGCAGGACGCAGGACCTAGTACTGTGTCTCCGAGACCCTGGGAAGCCGACTCAAGATATGGGAGAGATCGTGCTGAATGTGACACTGTGGCCAAAGTCCCAAGAAGATAAGGAACAGGTAAGATTAAAAATGATTAAGGTTTAATTTAGTGTTGGAGCAAACTATCTTCATATGGAACTAAATAGTGAAAGGATTGATTTCGAAGGACCCGATATAATGGCGAAAGAAAATATTTATAAATGGCAACCAAATAAATAACCATATTTTTGCGTCGGAGGTTAAGCTTTCAATGATTTTACTTTATCCTCTGAAGTTTGAAGTACCTAATAAAATATTAAGATATCACGTCTATCAAGAACAATCATAATCTTAAGATAAATGTCGATAGGTCGTTCATCTACTTTCCAAATATTAAATTCCGTAGGATCCTAAATGAGACACAAATAGACCACAGACTGTAGTTCACAAACGAATAAAAATAATTGTTAGACGAACTCCTGACTAGTTCTAAAACGCAGATTGAAGCGACAGAAATATTATCCAGTTCATCTTATAATTGACTGGCGTGTGATATAATTGACTGGCGTGTGATGTGTTCGTACTTTAATAAACATTGTTCCAATTTGAAGATTATGAACATATTAATGAGACATCTGAAATTCTCTTTCTGAGAATATTCCCCCAGACTAGCTTTAGGAATTATTAAATCTACAAAATGATTACTACGCTGCGGTTATGAAATTATGGAGTGTTTCTAAATAAGTGACTTTAGATTAAAAAATTAGACATGAGTAACGCGTTTGTATTTGAAGATTACGAATGTATATTGAAGAATATTCTACCAAGAAAATAAATCAATATAGAACTATGTACTTAATGGTAGTAGTAATTAATGATCAAACGCATGATTAACGGAAAACATAATTATATTACAAATCATGCATTCGAACAAGTTCTTTACGATATTTATTAAAGACACTAGCTTCTGCCAGCGGCTTCGCCCGCGATCCCAGGGGTAAAATGCCTATGTATCACTTCAGACCATAATTACCTCTGTTCCGAATTTCATTCCGGTCCCTTCAGTCGTTTTAATATGACTGAGTAACAAACATACACATAAACTCACATATTTCCATTTATAATAGCGAATCTCAACCATTGGCGTTTCGGTTACAGCGTAAAGTCTATGAATGAGTATTGTAAACGTTAGAGTAGACAAATATAATCAGAAATCACCGAATTGCTAAGCTATCGGGAGTTTCACGTGTTATTGTGAGTCAACCATAAAAGATAGACATATGCTGTCGAGGAATATTTTTTATATAATTTTAAGGAGAATATTTCCGTCGTACATGATTTCTATGCAGCTTTAACCTATAAGCCTGCACACGCGACGGAAGCTTAAAAAATGGAGTAACTTCTCCCGTTTTCCCAATATTTCCCTTCACTGCTCTGCTCCTATTGATCGTAGCGTAATGAAAAGTATACTATAACCTGCCCATGAGTATGAAGAATAATTGTGCCAAATTTCGTTAAAATCCGTCGAGTAGTTTTTGTTTCCATAACGAACATACAGACAGACAGACAGACAGACAAAAATTTTACTGATTGCATTTTTGGCATCAGTGGCGATCCCTAACCACCCCTTGATAGTTATTTTTTAAATATATTTTATGTACAGAATTGACCTCTCTACAGATTTATTATAAGTACATAGATAGATTAAAATAATAGCATAAAGAACACTACCTACAAATATAGTAACGAGTCTATCAACAGCACACTTCCCAAGAGCGAAATAATCATAAAATGGCGGTAACAAAGTTTTTAGTACACACAATGAATTTTGCAAGCAATTTAGACGAAAGATTTTCATCTGAAAACCACGGATTTAGATAACTCTTAACAAATACGAAACTTTTAAATAGGATTTGCCATTTCGGAATATTAAGCGAGTTCTCTTTCGTTGGTACATTATTGGCATTCACAGTTGTGGAGTTGGTTTTATTTCAATAAAGGTAGCTAAAACTTGGTAAGTACCTAAGCATCTTGCCGTAGAAAATGTATCAAAATGTAAAGGAGAATAATCTGTATGTGTACGTCAATTTAAAGATGATTACGCAAATTAGGTTACGGTGACGAAATAGATGAATCTGAAGCAATTGACAGTAATCTCTGTGCAACTTGAAAGTAATAAAATTCTTGATACACGTCTGAAACGGTGCTGATTTTCATTTTAGCAAAAAAGGAATTTGGCTGAATATGAATAAGTATTAGAATTTTTGGATCGCTTATCCAAAGGCAAATATCACAAAGGCTTGAAGCCGTAACGTTTTATCGAACATTTTGTACAATATAAAATTTTATTGCGACCTTCCACAGAGGATTTGAACTATTGAAGTTGTAAAATTTTAACGATGCGTCCATTTGTGTTGTTAAATAGATTATTTTGTGAAAAATCTGTATCAGCTGCTATTCTTTTGCTAGCATGCTTTCCCATAAAGTAGGAAAAGTAAACTAGTTAGCTGATTTTACTAAATTGTAACTTCTTCATTCACATATCCACCATCTCTTTCTATCGTAATCCTGTTAAACAAGATACATGTGCACGAGCACAAAATAAAACAAAATTACACCAATATTGCTACTCCACCGCTTTGACCTCACTCTGTCCTCTGTGAACCTGCTAAGCTTTAATCAATGGACTAACGCTACACCCACCTCAAAGCACACAAATAAAATTGCACTATGTGGCTATGTCGTCAAGGTGGGTTTTTATTGAGCAACAAAAGTCGTTTACGTTGTCTTATTACTAGAAAAATGACTTAATAAAAAAGAACTAATACTACTCTTATTGTGAGTGCATTACATTGTTTGTTTTGATAAAATGAATATGGACTATGGACACTTTAATATTGAAATTGATAATAAGTCAAACTTACTTTATTTTTTATACTTGATAGTTTAACGTTTGGCCTCTATCTCGTGGTGGTGGTAAGCGATGATGTGGTCGACGTTCAGTTATAAATATTTGCATTGATTTTAACAAAGCTTCCAATCAATTAACGTACTTTAAACCTCATTTAATACCTATAGAACTTTTTATTAACTCTTGACACAATAAATTCTGCGAGTTAATCGTACTCAAGAACATAAATAAATAAGGTGATAGCGGCACATGCTTGCACATAATCTTGCATTGCATGGCGTGCCGCAAGGCGTCACGCTCGGGCCGTACCTATTGCGTCGCAACTCGTCACTTGCAATCCGTCACGCTACTGCCTTTAAGTGTCTCATATCCAGAGGTAATAATAATATTAGATGGCTACCTGAGATAATAACATAATTATGCACTGTTTTTGTATCGTTACATCTACATCTGTACTAAATTAAACTAGTTTTGGCTTGTGCTGTAAAATTATGCATGTGTTTATAAATAAATAAATACATAACAGGCCTTTGTGCCCATTACTATTTTTATTTATATTTGTCATTTCCTTTTCTGTATGTACTGTATTATAAATGGTGTACAATAAAGTTATATTCTATTCTATAACATAACATCACGCCATTTATCCCGGAAGGGGTGCACAATGTGGCACTTAATGCCACTGTGATGTACTATATAAATACCTAAATATCCAATCTCAGTACCTACCTCTTATGATTCAATGACAAGGTTAAAGCATTTATCTCCATCAGAGCATTACAAGCACTTTTATAAGTCACATGTGCATACAATATAAAAAGAGCAAACTCATTCAAGCATTGAAAAAACCTCGTGAACGAAGTTTTAAAACCAATTCTACTTGTTTTTATAATAACTATCGTGAAACATACTAAATGAATTAAATCGCGGGTTACTCACTGAGGAAAAGCTCTACTAGTTTCAAACCACAGAAGGGGTTGTTGTCTACTTGTGTAAGAAAGTCGATAAAAGTGTCATAAACACTGCTTACTTTTTTCCTTTTACCAATAATCTGTGACAAGATTTCTGGACAATCAGCCTCCTTTACTACATAAAGTTCTGCCATAATCTCTTCTCTGGGCAGATCGCAATATAAACAGTTCAAGTTTGTCAGAAAATGCTACTGTCCAGTTTTTGTCAAATGTTAATAGTTTTTTAGTCGGCTTTTAATTCGAAATCTAAAATATTGAGGTTCGTTCTAGCTGAAAATAACTTTGGACATCAATACTCGTAGCATTTCACTTTAGCGGCGTCGGCGGCACTCCCTGGCTCGATGGCGCCCTGGTAGCTCCGTGTATATTTTTAGGGTTGACATCATTGAATGAATTGCAAACATAAAAGGGATGATAGTTTAATGTAATTTTTTTAGTTCTTTACAAATGTTCATTAAACTAATGGACGTGCTTTTACAAAATTACAGGTAAGTATGTCCCGAATTTTATGTTTATATTTTAGGACCATTATGACTATTACAAAACATTACATCACACTTTTTACTCTTCCAAGGGGTAGGCAGAGGTGTCTAGATCTGTCTAACCCTTCTGAATAGTCCTGAGCAGCAACAAGCGTATGCTTCTCTTAAATTTAGAAAATGTATACAGACGAAAGGCTCTCATAAAACTTAGCTGCAAGAAAATTAATTAACAAGAAACTTGTTTTAATTACTTTGAGCTCGCTAACTGAATGATTTTGATGGAATTACCCACGCTCTCGCGGTCTGCTAACTTCATTAGGGGTTTGTGCGACTGAATACACAAATAATGATACACACTAACTTAATGAATGAGAATACGTATAGGAGTCTGGCTTTTTATGAATAATAATGTGGCTCTTATGTAAGACATAAACAGTAGCCTTTTTAAAATTATTCAATGTCATACATCACATCAACCGTAATTTCCAACTTGCCTGCCAAGCGTGGAGACCATATACAGATCAAGAAAATTAAAGTGTCTGTTTGTAATTTATAATATTAAAATAACTGTTTTTTACTACATGCATATAATATACATGCGATACACATACCAAAATAACAAATTGGAAGTCAGGCGTGAAGTAGCATCGGCAACTTATCTTCTGAAGGTTTTAAGAGGTAACATACAAAACTCTGATATGCTTTCAGAGATAGGTTTTTGTATGCCGGACGACTATGTGGCGCGGCGGCGCCGGCCGCGGCTGCTGGTGGTGCCGCGGGCGCGCACCAACCTGCTGGAGCGCGCGCCGCTCACTCGTGCCTTGCGCACTCTTAACACGGTGGCTGATGTCGTAGACATATTTAACTGTACACTGAGCGAGTTCACAAGGACCACTTATTCTATAGTGTGTAAGAAAATATAGTTTATAGTTAAATATAGTTAATAGTTTAGGAAACGTATTTTAAGTTACTATGTCGAATTAGGTTAAGTTATCTGTTATGGCAAAGTAATTGTATTAAATAAATAAATAAATAAAATAAAAAAAAAAAAAAAAAAAAAACATTTTTTACAATTTTTGTCTCTCTGTTTGTACTGGCTAATCTCTGGAATGGCTGCACCGATTTTGCAAGACTTTTATTGGGAGGTAACTGATGTACTATGGAGTAACATAGGCTACTTTTACTCTGGAAAATTGAAACAAAAAAAGTTATGTTCTAAAATTCATATTTCACACGAACGAAGTCGCAGGCAACAGCTACTATATTTAATTATATATGATCCTTTATATGTAGATACGTAACTCATCTTGAGGAGGCCCATATTCCACCAACAAACAGTCACGGGCTTTTGATTGCAATAACGATGATAATAATATAATACATCACATTTACGTATAGGTACAATACATGAACAATACACACGCACACACAACTAGAAATAGCCAACAAATACACAATCTTACGTCATTAAGGCGTAATCTTCCCTCATTACGTTAATCATTGCATACATCAATGATGGAATAGATACGATACAGTCGACCCCACACGACACAAAACACGGCTATTTACTAAGAAAACGTGAGCTACATACGACAATTTCAATAATTACATAAATAAACGGAATCACGTTATGATTTATAGAGAACTGTTTATAACTTTAGCTATACAACCATAATGTCATGTCTTTTTGACCCCAAAGGAGTCAGAAGAATACCACACAATTATGTTTGTAACACCTACCCATCACCAGAGGGCCTTTTGTTGATAACGCGAGGAAACCTTCAAAAGGCGTCTAACTTTTTGGGAAAAAAGGCTACCTATCTAAAACCACCGCGGTAGCTTTTTGGGGAGAAAGACTAGGGAGTATGGGAGTTTTGCCTAACAAAAACCACCGCGGTGGTGACCTTCAGCACCCGTCAGGGACAATATGTTCTCTGACAGACCTGTCCCGGAGGTCACCAGAGGGCCTAGTGCAAGTTACAATATGGGGACGTTACGTTACCACGTTTAGCCCTCTGATTAGCTGCTCCAAGCTAACCAACCTCAGTTGTGATTTCTGTCATAAGTGAGCCATAAGTGTTGGGAGTAAACCATTGGCAATTCACAGCATTGATACATTACACTACCATTTTTTTTAAATGCCCCCAATGGGACTTTGCTCGACCCAGGACCCAGATACCTTTTGTTCGGCAGTAGCACGGGCGTCGACTCTGCGGCCAGGACAAACGTAGCTGTGTCCAAAAAATACATACACACAAATACATCGTTTTAATGAAAATAAAGGTCATTTAGAAATGTTGGTAGCTTTTTCTCAAGGGGATAGCCATGGCATCCAATGATTTCTTCCACCTTGAGTAAGAGAGAATGTCAGACTCAACAACCCGTTCTTACTCCTGCTCTTCGAGTTGGCGCGCAGCAAGCCGTTAAATTTCCCGCGGCTCCGTATCGAGCATTAGCCCTACTAGGACCTGTCTGTGCCGGTAAATCTAAAAGGTCTTTAAGGCGCGTGAAAAATGATAGTAGTTTCTGACATGCAGTTTTCATTAACAAAAATAATTTTACGTCCATAATTCCCTGAATGGTAAATACAAGTCATTACTTATAACTCAATCGATAAACCTTAACTCAATTCCAAGTACCTCACAAGTTTCTACTAAGAACTTCGTATTTAATTGAAATACCTAATAATAGTTCGACCAATCGTGTAATTCAATTATATTTGTACAATCAATTCGTCAGGTTTAACAGGAAATATAAACAAACTTATTTGTTGTGTATATGTATGCACCTCCGTTTTGAATTCGGTTAAAAATTTATTTATTTTGACATTTGGACTAAGGATTGTCCCGCGTACCGACCACACGAATGATATCTGCCTAACTGTACAAACAGGAGTTCAGAACAGTAAATGGGGTTTCTGAAAACCGCATCCAGTAATCCATCCGCGAAATCCCGTAATCCAGACGTATCCCGTACCGATATGTATCCTAATTAATCGAATATTACTTACTAATTAATCTAATATTAATATTAATCTAATATTATATTATTATCAGTTAATTGAACTAAAAATGTAAATAAACTACAAACACAAAACCTAATAGCTATCGTCTGATGGACAGTAGGTACTGCGTTAGTGTCACATTAATAGCGTCCCATGTTTTGTCAAGGTCATCCATACTTCCATTATGCCAGTAGACCAACACATTTCCTGCATTCAACGGACGTCCTTCAAAGCCACTATTAAGATACATACATTATTTTATTACTATCACCCTCGAATGAATGACGAATACATGTGCTAACCTAGTTTATTTAGTCAAGCGTCAGACGCCAAAGCGAGCGCGCGTGCGAATGTGATAGAAACAAAAATTTTGCGCAAACAAAACAAACTTTGCGGTCGCGGCCATGATTTTTTTATAACCGGCCTGCTTTGATATTCGGAATTTGAAATTTTAAAAAGTTTATGTGACTGTTTATGTGTGTTGTGTTTTGTGCCAGTAATTTTATTGTTATTGTGTTCTATTATTGCAAGTTCAGTTTTATAATCTGTGAAAGTGTATTGTTATTTTGGATGCGTTTGTAAAATGGTTTGACGTAAGATGTTTTACACAAAATTGTTTAATTTTTATCAGATTTGAGTTAAATCTAGAACTAAAGTTTATAACAAACTGATTCTCAATCATTAAAATCGTACGTAAAGATAAAAAACTTGATTTTACATCATTCAATTATTGAAGTTTGCATTCACTAAGGTCGTTGACATCTCGTCATGCAATGCAAGTGTATTGCAAATGCTACTGTTTGAACGAAATTGTTCATTATCATTCACTGTTACGTAAGAGGTCTCACAAATATTACATATTGCGAAGAAAAATTAAATATATTGAGAATCACAGAACCGAAAGCAATTAATGCTACACATTTTTTTTTATTAATTAAACCCACATAGTGTTTACTCCTGTGTCGTGGGTGCATTTAAAAACATACAAGTTCATATACACATGACACCCAGACCCGGAACAACAATTTGTGGATCACACAAAAACTTGCTCCGGTTGCCCAGCCACCGCATTAACGGTGCAGTCAAAGTATATAAATTCCAAAGTAAGTAAATAAAAATAAAAATACAAAACTTTTAAAAGATACAAACAAAATTATCTGTGTACATTAAATAATATTTAATTAAATAAAACAACGTTTCTTATCTCGATAATTTTACAAAGAAAACACAACAGTAGCATGTCACTACACTATTGTGTAATATTTATTTATTTTACTTATCGCTACGTGTTTGATCTTTTATGATTCCGTAAGTAAAATTAACCAAAAGTTATTTATAAAAATGTCCCGCTAAATTACCTCTATTATTACAAATGCGAAGGTTAATTTGTTTCTTTTAATTGATTAATTAACAAAACATAAATATCCTCTATCTTCGAACTAGGCACATTTCAATCAACTTCAGACAACAATTAAATTCGAAAAGAACGATACATAATAACATCACGTCTTTTATATCCGAAGGGGTTGGCAGAGGTGCACATTACGGCACTTAATGCCATGACTGTACAATGTAACACTCACTTTTCACTATTAAGTTATGAGTCTCATGTAATAGGGGGTGAGCCTATTGTCATATACTGGTCACAGTTCCAGGCTCCGTGCTACTACTGAGATTGTTTTTAAAAAACCCAGTAATTTAAAAAGACGTAAAACTAAATCTATGTAAAAAAAAGTTTTGTTTAGTGAATAACTCAAGAACGGCTAAATTCATTTGGCTGAAAATTGGTGGGGCGGTAACTTAGAACCAGGCGACGGACTTATGTCCGTATAAGATTTTATCCAAGGACTAGCTACTCCCGCGCGGTTTC